TTGTTGAACGCCGCGCACAAATGAAGTCGCTGTCGACCGGCTTACGTCACTTCTTAGTACACACTGTCGGTGCGAATGCAACCCTTTAAATGGTACTGGGAAATAGTTCGCGCAAAATCGTCCCAGTACTTTAGTACTGTACATTTAGTTCTGGAACTAAAGCGGTGCGAAAGGCCCTAATGACCACAAACGTCCATTTAGCAGAATGCAGAATAGATGCTGTGTAGGTCTGGGCGATATGGCCAAAAAAATCATATCTCAGTACTTTTTGGCTGAAATGCAATATATGGTGTATATATATCAATATTTTCTACATTTTCTATTTGGATAAAAAAAAATTATTTTCTTATTTAAACATCCTGCCCAATGTTTATATTAAAGGCAATGAAAACAAATATAGTGAAATTATAGGCTATGCTATCCATTATGTGCAAAAAAGGGGCTAAAATCACATTACATTCTAACATTGTAACATTCAAATCTAAAAACAAAAATAATGCTTTGTAAAGCAGAAGTTCAATTCACTAAACTAAAAATGAAAGTAAATAAACACAGGGATTAAAGTTTTCTGTCGCTACGACGGATTGCCGTCAACTGGAAAAAATGAGTGGAAAAGAAACATGTAGCGCATTGTTGTTGTTCTGCTGGTGTTGTGCCGAATTCTGCACCCCTTCCAGATTATGCATCCCCTCATTGAAATCGCTACCTGATTGCCTAATCCCAACCCCACCCCTAATCCTAACCCCTCCCCCACACCTACTCCTAAACCTACCAATACTAGGGGATGCTTTATCTGGTAGGGTGCAGAATTCGGCACGACACCGGCACACCAAAAATCATCCTTGCCACGGCTGCAGCTTCTCAGTGACAACATAGTGACACCGCTCGCATCATTCACAGACGGGTTATTAGCAGAGAACACAGTGCAGAATTTAAAATTTGGCTCAGGATTGCGGCTATTAATAATTCTGCCGGCACACCAAAAATCATTCCCGGCCACGGCTGCAGCTTCTCAGTGACAACATAGTGACACCGCTCGCATCATTCACAGACGGGTTATTAGCAGAGAACACAGTGCAGAATTTAAAATTTGGCTCAGGATTGCGGCTATTAATAACAATTCTACTAATTCCTGCAGGTTCCGCGCTTATAACGTGATGACAGATGATGGAACGTATCATTTGCACGTGCTTTTGAGTCTTTTGAGTCTGGTTTTGAACTCACTCGCGCGCGCGCTCTCATTTTCTGTGCGCCCACAGATCGCGATAAGGAGAGTGACAGCTTTTAATAATCAAGGGTGTTTGCAAATGTGATATTGATTTAATACAACTGTTCATATCTGTATGACAGTATATTCTGCAGTTCTTCCCTGCTGTACCGAATATCTATACTTTTCAAAGTATCATATCGAAGTTAGAAATTCAAATATTGTGACAAAATTAATTTTGTAGGGTGCCACAAATTTGTTAAAATTTCCAAAGGGTGCCGCGACTAAAGAAAGGTTGGGAAACACTGCAATAAACAATTACTGCCTGATTTTGCTCTATTTCAAAGAAAATAGTTCCAAATAAAGTAACAGCTGAGCCGCTGCGCATTTCTAAAGGCAAACACAGCGATGTTTCATTCATGGATAAAAGTGCGTTTTTGAAAGAATCTAGTGAGTCAGTGACTCATGATTACCCATTCATAAAGACAGTCGCTTCATTCCTGAATGATTCAGCCATTCAATTGAATGAATTCTTCAGTGATAAAATCAGTGACTTGCCGCCACCTGCTGGCAGATTTTGTTTCATTTTAATGTATAATTTCAGTTATTTAAATCATTTAATGTTTCTGTATTCAAAATTTTATATTTAAAACATTAATCTCCACATGAATTTATGAATTTAATTGCACTCATGCCACCTCTGAACCTCATTAAACGTCTGAAAATGTACCTACAAGGCACTTTTGTGTTCTTCTGTGCTGCCTCTGTAGTACAAATTAATTTTTTATTAATACTAATTTCATATGATTGGTAACTTATTTGTCTTATTCTACTTATTATATTGTTTTAAATATAAATTTTAAAAAGCTTATAAACATACATTTTTGAATTTGACAGATGAAAATGATGCCATTACAAAGGTAAAAAGAAAATACCCCTGTAAGTCACTTTAAGGAGTCAAATGTCACCTTATATTAGGAAGGCAAATTTTTTATCAGAATTTTTGGTTATCGATCAATTA